TGCATGTAATTTTTGTTTTTATTTGTACTTGTACAAATAGTAGTATCTCTTTAATATAGTTACTATTTTTAAAGTTATTAATAAAGATATGCGCAAGGCCTCATCTTAATACCAAAAAAAATAAAATAAAATAAAAGCTTTTAAATAATTTTTTTCTGAATTGAAACATTTAATTATTATTTTAAATTACAATATAACAATACAATTATCGCGTGTAAGTTTATGAATTAAAAAATAATTAAATATAAAATTCACAAATTGTGTAAGATTTTATATCTGATAAGATGTCTAATAATTCTCCTAGTCGTCAAAGTCAAGGAAGTATAGAAAGCGGTTCAGAAAATTCTATCGAACTGAATATTAATTTGGATGCTTTACAAAAGTCCGCACCGAACGTATTTTATGTACAATGTATTTCTATACAAGAATTTAGTGAAGGTGGATTTCATAAAATATTCATCTTAAAAATAGAAGATGGTAAAAAATATGTCAGAAGAGTAGCATACCCTGTATATTCACAATGGAAGACAGAAAGTGAAGTAGCAGTTATGAAGTATATTCGTTTAAATACGAACATCTCTGTTCCTAAAGTTTATTATTGGAATAGTTCTGTCAATAATACAGTGGAAGCTGAATATATTTTAATGGATCATTTACCCGGTATTCGTCTTTGTGACATCTGAAGTGATCTCAGCATAGAAAAAAAAAAGAGTTTTCTTTTAAAAATTATTGACATTCAATTGGAACTTAAAAAACTTTCATTTTCTAAAATTGGAAGTATTTTTTTTGATGGCAAGAATGATCAATATAAAATTTGTTAGGTGATTGAAAGCGACTTTTTTGCTGGTGAACAAGCAACTTTATCAACCATAGAATGAGGCCCTTTCAACACAACTAAAGAATATATTTTAGCTGTTATTCGAAATTATATCCTTTATCATAATACCTTTAAGTCTATAGAACAACAAAAATACTGGATTCCAAAATATGAAGAATTATATAAATTAGTTTCTAAATATTTTCCGCAGGATAATGACAAAACAACATTTGTATTGATGCATGGTGACTTTCACTCGTCAAATATTTTAGTTAATGACGACAAAATCACAGGGGTTATCGATTGGGAATGTTCTGGTGCATTTCCAATAGAGTTCTTATGTACTTATCCAGTATGGATAACAAACAATCCGATAATAGAACAAACTAACGAAAAGTGCGAGGAAAATCTAAGACTTCAGAAATTTTTTCGAGCTGAAATGTCTCGTCGTAATCCTGAATTTATACACATATTTGACAATATAGATGAGGGAAAAAAAGAATTTTATTCAGTAGTATTTAGTCAAGAAATATAGAAGGTAGAAAATTTTTTTAATAAATTTAGAAAATAAGTACATTAGGAAATTATATAGGGTTGTTAATGGAACAAAAATTATATATTATGTCATCCTAATTGGCCAATCTTGGGTATAAAAATACTGTTTTAGCTTTAATTTTGATTGGTTAATATCTTATTTTTCGATGTCCCTACCAAATATCAATCTTTTATATTAATTCGTAGTCTTTAATAATGTTTTTGGTAATATCTAATAAAATAAGCAACATCTGAAAAATTAAGTTCATTTTTTCTCTCTTTCCCTTTTTTGTGTTGATTTTGCTATTATTTGGCATCTTATACAATTCTTTTTTTGTCTTATACTACGAACAAAACCACATTTGTTACATATCATGTGATGCTTTTTGCAAAATCCAGATTTATTACATTGATTGCAATGATGGTTATAACCTAGATTAGGTATAGAGAAAATGATAATAATAATAACCGAATAGCGGAAAATTCTAAAAATCTCATAAATTCTGAAAAATAAAATCTTTCATTCATGTTCATCATTTTATATTTTTTTTATTTTGTAAAAAATTTAAATTAATATAATGTGTGTTTATATAACTCTGAATTGAAGATTCAATTATTGTCTAATGTAATGATCGAAATAATTTAATTTTTTTTAATTATTTTGCAGTAAAAATAATAAGTTCTACACATATAGTATGACATTAAATTTAACATTATTATGTAATTTTACAAATTGAAAAAAGCAAACTGAATTTTTTGAATTAATTTTTACGTTAATAGATTATTTTGAATTGAATTGTATTTACCATTCAAATCCTTAAGTTTGGTTCCAAAACCGTTTAAATAAATAAATTTTGTAAATAAATACTATTTATTTCCCGCGAAGCAGGAAATAATGAAATATTTCTCCAGATTTTTTCAGCTCCGATAGGAGCCAAAAAGAAAAAATCTGGGGAAATAATTGACTATTATTCTCCAATAGCGGGGATTAAATATGTTATTCTCCCACTTTATTAATTGACAGCCGGAGGCTATTTCCCTACTGAGTTTAAAAATAAATTATTGTAAAAATAACACGTAAATCACCATAAAAAACAATTAATAAAGTGGGGAATAATTTTTATTGATTAAAGCAGCTGATGTCAGATCTGTTGTTTGAGCAGTTGCGGAGGGTACTCTAAGCATGAGGTTTTGCGGTTTTGCTGTACACTTACCTTGAGCATTTTAGGTCAAACCTTACCGAGCTTGTTATAAATGATTTTAAATTTGTTTCTACATAAAATTCCGACATTCAAAATCTCGAAATCATAATTCTGGTATGACTTCAAATGCCTAATTTGCGTAATATCATAAATATTAAAAATTCTACACGAGCATTTAAAGTACTAATAATAATAAACCTTCGATAACATTGTCTAAAAAATTTAATTAAATTCGTTAAAGTTTTTAAGATTTAAACAAGTTCATATCTATACTTCCCCATTATATTTACCAAAAGTATCAGGATAAATGAGAAATGCTATAAGTAATACAATTTGATCTTCCATCTGAAAAATTAATTATTAACGAAGTAGCATTTACTAGAGATTCATTATGCAAGTCTTGTTGTCATTGAAGTCAAAAAACTTTATTACTGTAGGAAGTTTAAATCAAATGATAATAGAACTTTTTTAAAAAAAGTAAAGTATTATAGAACTTAATTTATTAAAGCAAAAAAAATTATGATACACTTTTTTTTAAAAAAAACTATTACAGTACTATAACATATTGGTTTTTAACTTGATAATTTTATCATGCCTTCAATTATTCTAGCATTAAGACTACTTTGTTGAATTGCCTGTACGTGTAAACCCTCTTGTTGAGCACCTTTCATAATCCAGTCTTGTAGGATAGTAAGGTCTTTTGGATCATTAGCTATTAGTGGAAATGTAATAAATTCCATGAGGTAAACAGCACTTCTTATATCAAGTTTGTTTGCAGCATAGTACGTTCCTTGAGTTAGGCGTAGGTATAAAAAGTATTCATGACCATATTCGATACAATTTTCAACAAACTTCAATTTTTGGCGGCGTCTTCGATTCATCTTCTTAAAAACTATTACTAGGATGTGGGTAGGTTCTTTATTGTAAAGTTGTTGATCGTTTTCATCATTCATTACTGACTAACTTATCACACAGAATTTATACTATTTTTTTATCAAAATTTTGAGTAGTATATTATATAATAATTTATCAATCTAAAGAGTGCGGATACCTGTTCATTTATATAATGATAATAATTGTCAAGAGAAAATGTCAATTTAATTACTTTATGTATTGTTTCTTCATGTTCAACAATTGTGATTTTCTAAATGCAAAAAAATTTATAAATACGTTAAGAATTTTTAAACTGGGAATTGTTTAACTTGAATTTTAATCCATATGTTACGGATTTAATTACTTTATGTATTGTTTCTTCATATTCAAAAATTGCAAGTTTCTAAATGCAAAAAAAAAAAATTTAAATTCAAAAAAATTTATAAATACGTTGTTAAGTAAATAATATATAAGGTAGCAGGAGGTATTCTAACAAAGTAGATATTGTGACGGACCAAATTAGTTTTAAGACGCTTTGTCTATTAATTGGAATCTAATTATTCTTATACCATTCGATTCGTCCCACCAAGACAAATACATAGAAGGATTGTAAGATAATCGTACAAATACCCACTGATTAGAGCAACTGATTAGAGCAACTGATTGTCATCATAATATTTTCACTTGACTCATCAATTTTGTTAGAATTTTGGCGCAGCTCAATTCAATCGTTAGATTAAATTGCATTTTTGACTATTCTATCACAAACCTAATCTTTAAAATTTTAAATATTACTCAATTTTAGAATCAGCTACCGAATTTGGTTATTTTGAATTGTAAGAGAATGGTTATTTTAGGTACTATAAATTACAATAATTAATCGTAAATTTCGTTAAAATAGTATGTGAAAATGATGAAACTTCTAAAAATCTATGAAAATGTCGCTGGCTCTAAAACAGAAAATACAAACATATGTTGTGTAATACGTTTATATTAATTAAATGTGAATATAAAATAATATTGTTACAGCTATTAAGTTTACCATGAACCCTTTTGTCTTCAATATAATGGCTAGCTCTCCAGGCTGCTGCTGCCCAAGGGCTTGAATAATTAATATCCAAATCGCCAGGCCAATGTTCAGATAAAATTTCCACTTGATACTCATTTCTTTGCAGAATTAAAGCTGTGGTAAGACCTTTTACACCAGCACCAATAACATTGATGTTAATTTTTTTGACATTAAAAGAGAGTATTCATATCTACCGATTTGATTTTTAGAGGTCCTTTTTCGATAAACTGTTACATGAACTTTTGCCATTTAGTGACGTGAAGAATAACAAACGAAACATTCATTAAAAATGTTTTTTAGCCTCTATCCCTATAAAAAAAATTGTCAAATAAATATTCTAAAATTGTTTAGAATCGTTTGATTATATTTTCAGTTTTTTGTTAAGTTTCTATTAAGTATTTGTTCAGTTTTTATTCAAAAAAATGTTCAAAATGGAGTCGATTTCTTGAACAATTTTTTGAACAATAATTTATATGATTTTTGTACAAAATTATTATATATTACGATAGATATTATTTAATTTTTAATAAATAATTGAGTTATAAATATGCATTATCTATTATAAATTTATATAAAATGTATTTAATAAATATTCTATTGTTGTCACAATATTTTGCTTACCTTATCATTATTTTATTCATTTTTTGCCAATTATTAAATACATGCAAATGAATTACTAATTTGATTAATTTTAATATTACATATGCGTACTACATATATTACTATACAGTTATTTTTCTGAATAAAAAATTAAATTTCAATTTTTATAATATACTTCAAATATTATATATACGATTATATCATACCTTTGGTCTTGGCATTGTTAGATACTTTCAAAGGTCGCTTTTTAGCATTATTTTTAATGTTTGCAGCTTTCATAGTTTCTTAACAAGATCATTACTTCGGGTTTTAGCTTCTGTAGCTTTCTTAACAGGATTGTTGCTCCGGGTTTTAGTATGAATTCTATTAAATAATAATGATGTAAATTAAAGTAATCGATATTATAAAAAATAATTAGTCTTTTGAATATCCATAACTATTACAGTATATTAACATACTTGGAACGTAACATGCGACTGCAACCAGAATTTTGAAGCTTTTTACTTGGTGTCTCTAATGCTTCATTGGTAGAATCTGAACTGATGATGTCTTGAACTTCATTAGCATTTGGTTGTTGAAGAGTAGTTAATGGAGTGCAGGAGACAGAAGTTGTACCAGAATCAGTAATCAACCTTGTACGATTTTCTGGACTTGGAGTTCTAGTAACTTCTAAAGGATGATTGTCATTGATAATCTGAATAAAACAAAAATTAATAATAGCAACATTTATATTAATAATTTATTATAATCTACTTACACTAGTTCCAAGGCTAGATACGAATTCTTCAAGGGATTTATGCGTTCCAGTAGAAAAATCTTTATTTATAAAAAAAAGATAAGTTTATAAAAAATAATAATAAATAATACGTTATACCTTTATTATTTTTTTTGCTGTTGTAAGATAACTGACTATTCATCTTATGTTTTTTTGTATCACCTATTTGAAGGATAAGCCAATTAGATTTTATAGTTTTGTACAATATTACTTATTCACTAGTCAAGATTAAAATTTTTACATATTAAATAGCAGTTGAAGCATACTATTTAAAATAGCAAACATTTTAATTTTGACTAATGCATACAAACGTTTATGGTTAATTATTCCTCTCATCATCCGTCTAATAGCCTAGTCACAAGCTGTAAGAGGAAACCTTGGATTTTTGTGTTTGAACTAACAGAATACTAGGGGTTATTATTTTGAAAAAATATCAATAAAACAATTGAACTACAGATCTTACTTACCCTTCTAATAATTTCATTTTTTTCATTTTCTAATATTTTGCGATATTCGGGAATGCTCTTTTCATATTTAGCTGTTATCATTAAACGAAGTGATTCCTAGAATAATAAATTAAATAAATTAATTAAACTATAAATTAAAATAAATAAAAGATTAATGAAAACACGAATAATAATATTGGCACCTGATAACTATTATATATAGGCTTATCGATCTTAAGAAATTTAGGAATATTGATATATGTTGCCTCACTTGGTTTTTCGATTGGCATTGGCTTTTGAATCATAAAAACAGTCTTTAGAATTATGTAATAGTAAAATCACCCAAAGTTATTAAATACATACAATAGAATCTTCGTTACTAGTACTCTCCGTTCCTGAACTAGAACCTTCCTTGTGATTTCTCTTATTAGTTTTGGAGTTTTTTTTCCTTTTTTTTTTTTAGATATGTTGTTATTGGTGTTATCTGGAATGGGCTCAATTCTTTGATTGTTAATCTTATTATTAGTAGCTTGGAGTTTCTAATCGTTTAAATAAAGCTGAAAGTTGATTTGTTTCTGAAAGCAGATTATCTTCAATACTAGAATTTTGCTCGCTTCTGTCTGTTTCAGACTCTGAAATAGACCGAGTTATATCTTCTCCATCGCTTGCATTTGCACTGTTATTAGTTGCATATGTTCTTTTTTTATTATTACGAGTCATTGTTGCAGAGATAAATAATAAGTTATGGTCTATTTCAGAAATATAGTAAGCAGATTTTTTTAATAATAGACTTTCAATTAATCAACTTCAACGAACACTTTCTATAACACCAACTTGTGTGATAAATCACAGAGCCCAAATAAAAAACGTATCCTTCAAGCAAAAAATGACGAATTTGAAGAGGTCTTATTCCTGAAAAGCAAGAACTAGACAAGGATTAACTGAAATACTAAAGCTGAAAAAACAGTTCAACTAACTTTATATATACCAGTTATTTGACGATAAAGGTATATATTTATCTTGTATTTATCTTATTATTTTTTTTAAATTAGAAAAAGAAATTTACTGATCATTATTTTCTCTTTTCTTTTATTCAAATATATATTAACTACTGTACTGTTGATCTGATGTATTTTATATATTGATTAATAAATATGGTAATATGCATTAAAAAAATAAACTCTGTATGTATAAACTCTTGATTAACCAGGGCATGGCGACTTAGTGAAGTGGTCAAGTTGTCACCCCCCAAGTGGCAGATCCAGGGTTCAATTCCTACCTGCGATGATTATTGAATACTTATCTGTATATCAACGGATATGTCAACTTAATTGGGTATGCCGGTATAAGACGCTGTAACTAGATCTCATCTACTATGAGCTAGGGCACTAATTAGGAAGGACCACTTGCAAATCCTGAATATGGCATTCATTTGGGAAAGGTTGATAGTCGGGTCTATGAAGAAATGCAAGCTATACGACCAGTGCAAATCCATGATAAGACCATATACAGGTTATTTCTGGATGCAGAGTAGGACTGCATACTGGCACATGCAATTACAAATACAAACACATGTACACAAACACAAACAAACACTATGAAC